CTACAGCACTTTGCAAACAGGTGATGATTTTGGCTGTTGGCACCAGGAAGTCCCCACCAGGGCTCCATATTTAGGGAATGACCTTTTGGAAAATCTTTTTGCTTCAGATGCAGGGAGTGTCTTGGCACTGTTGAAAGTTGGTTTGCTGAGCTCAAGAGTTATTTCCAGTAAGGATAGACATGACCTTAATGTGCCTCTTGCACAGCCCACCCTGCTTTATCAGGGGCTGTTGATTCCATAGAATGCTGAACGTTATTGTAATAGAGGTTATCTGAGCACTTGAAGAACTGGGAGCTGTTCCGAGGATCAGTTTCAGCCCCCACTTGCTGGGTGAAATCCTTCCCGAGTCAGAAGTGTGTGTGTTGAAGAGTTCATCACTTCCTTCACCTTCCCATAATCATTTCTCTTATGAGACCTCTTGCTCTCTGAATGAGAACTTTTGTTGCTTTGTCTGGGTGCTGTTTTAAGGGTTTGTGGGTTTTTTTTGGGTTTTTTTTTTTTTTAAGATGTGCTTGGGAAAGAGCTCTGCTTTGTGTCCTTTTTGCTTTATGTATCTTTGTCTTATCCCAGATCTAAGGAGACTTCAGAGCTCTTCCTTCCATCGCTTTAGGTTTGGGATGGTAGTTCATGTCGTCAGCATTCAGGGCCTCTGGAGTCAAGACCTGTTACAGATCTCTGGAGAATTCTTCCTCACACAGAGTGTCTATCTAGCATACACACAGCTCTTGGAACTCACTGTGGATCATTTGTACAGCTGAGAGTTTTGGTAAATTGACTTGGAAAAAAAGTCCTGAGGAAAAAATGTGTCTGAGTGCAAATCTTGAGATGACAGTTTAAGTTTATGTGGCTTGGCTCTAGAAAAGAGGAGCAGCATATCTGTTCCTTCCACTTTCCTCTGTGGATTTGGATATCTGTGATGTGGTTCTGACTTTGGATGTGGGAAGGGTGAGTGTCTGTGCTTGTTGTGCTGCCATGCTCTGAGAATATATCCACAGCCACCTCAATCATTGGAGTGGCCACTTGAAGCCCTCACAGCTGGACATCCCTAAAGAGCACTTACAGAGAAAAGAGGAGAGCATGGCTGACTGCAGAGCCACTTCCACAGAGAACATATAAATGGTCCCTAATTAGGGAATTTTCTCCCTAAGGCATGTCACCTGCTCAGAGAAAGCTCCCTGGGATGGCAGTGCCTCATGCCCAGATTAATCAGGACAGGCTAGTGTTGTAAATTGCTGTTCCTCTCCTGCTGTCAGGGTGAATTGCCCAGCACATAATATTATCAATCAGCTGCTGAGAGCACCCTGGTGCTGCTGGAATTTCATCTTAGCATTCCAGAGCGATGCAGACCGTCAGGAACCTCTAGTGGAGTCCATGAGATTGTTCCCTTCTGGTCGCAGTGGTTTTTCTCCAGTGTCAGTGCCTGTGGACTGGTCAGGCTCTGAGAGAAGAGCACTTCTCAGGCACTTGCTGTTCACGGGTTTGGCTCTTTGTTGACGTGTGCTCATAACATCTTTCAGCTTTCCCAGCCAGGCTCATGTGGAGCTGCGGTGTTAGGATGTGCTTTATCCTTCTGGCTCCTGAGTCACAACTTCCCTTTATTTCTTCTCCATGCTCAGTTAGATCTGAACATGCCCACTTAGATCTGAACAGAAGCATTGAAGAGGAGATGTTCTGCTTCCCCTGAGAGAGGAGGCTGCATTTCTCTGAATATCCACTGAGGTCACGTTTCTGATACGTGAAAGCTTTCCAGACTGCCACCACCAACCTGATTTCTTGGATACTTGCCTTGAGGAGAGCTCCTCTCACTGAGGGTTATCCCAGTGCAGCACTCTGGGAGCTGCTGCCTCAAGGTGTGGGGGCAGTGAGGGCTGAACTGGCAAAGAATGTTTAAGTGCACAATTCTGAGTTTTCCAGTTTCCTTGTGTTTTGGCAGGAACTTTATCTGTTGTGTTTGGTGCCTCCCTACAGCCCTTCTAGAGATGGAGGCAGGAAAGGGGAAGCTGGGGAAGATGCACCTGCAGGGTTTTATGCAGAAAAGCAGCTTAAGCAAATTGTAAAGCCTTAGTTAAGCATTAACTCTTAATTGTGATTTTAATGCAGAGTAAAGGTGATATAATTAGATCATAATTATGATTATAAATGACCCATGACCTGGTGTGTTACTCCCTATGAATTGATGATCAGCTTTGTAGTTCCAAAGGATGACTTAAAATAGCTGAGACCAACAGGCTTGTGTGTGACCTTGAAATCTGAATGTGCCTTGCTGGATTTCATGGATGAGTTGCTGCCAACCTGCTGTAGTGAAGGAAACAAATCTTGGAGCAGGGTTCTGGTTGGAGTGTGCTGTTCTCCTCCATGCAGGAGCAGCACTGGTGTTGAACCCCATCCAGCTGTTGTGTCTGCAGGGTCCTGTGGTTCCCCTCCACTTCTCTTCTGATTGTGGAGCCATTTGGTGGAAATGAAAGAGATAAACTGATCAAACATTACCTGAAATGGCTTTAGGATTTCAGTTTGAATATTTTTTTAAATTAGCTGCACATAAAGACTTTATTGCTTCAAATAGCAACCATGAAACCAGAAACCTCTTGGTCTGATCCTTTATTTTCCTGTTGTATAAGAAGCCTCAGTAGCTGTAGGCTCATTCCAAGTTAGACACCCCAAACACCAGCTAACAGCTGGTGGGAACACCCAGTGATCAGCTTTGAAGTATTCCTGTTGGGAACATGTGAAGGAACTGCTGTGTGGGGATGGGATTAGACTGACAAGGAACAGAGTGGAAATCAGTTGTATTTTAGGAGGAGCAAGGATGCTTTAGTTTAACAATGCAGAGAACACTATAGCACATCAAGGATAAGGATTCCTTTTTCTCACTTGAAGCCTTTCTTTCCTTCTGGTTAAAAGAACTTTCTGCTGTGAACTGGAGAAATGATTTAAGTGTTTCTCTCTCTGATTCATTTTCAAAGAGGAGATCAGCTGAAGTGCCTTTCAGTCATTTTCCTTCTTTATGGACTTCCTGGAAAGTGCTACCAGCCTGGACTGACAACTGATATCTTGTGTGTCAGGAACCTTGTGTACCCCCAGTTTTGGAAGGTTTGGCAGTACAAGGGGGCCCATTAAATGAGGCTGTAACATGGGATTTGGTGAATGCACTAACTCACAGTTTGTGGTAGGCTGGAAGTCTCACTCCTGTGTTTCTTACATATTAAAAGTTCCTCAAGTCTTTCGTGCTTTTATTATCCTGAACTTTAAATTTGGTACAACCCTTGTAAGAGGCACATTGTGCTGACTCAGACCCAGTTTTCTGGCAGGGTGGCCCTTGGTCATGGGTTCTGTGTGGCTCTGAGCCCATGGAGTGATGATCCCACTACTCCAGAGTCATCAGAGGGAGATGAGTCATTGGGGGTGGGCTGGAGAGTCTTGGTGTTCCTCAAAGCCCCAGTTATCCCATGATCCTGTGGTGCCTTTCAAGGATGTATAATGAATGAGGTGTGGATTTTGAACATCATGTGATGCTTCATCTTCTCCTCTATTAGTCTGTAAAGAAGCTATTTTTCCCCTCACAGTTCCTGGTGGTTTGTTTGTTTGTTTGTTTTTGTTTTGTTTTGTTTTTTGCCTCCTGGTTAGCAGCCTGTAACTCATTATCCTCTAAGGAACAGGCTTCCCTATTTTTCTACCAGTAATTTGTTTTACATGTGCTGGAATGGCCAGCTGAGCTGGCTGGGCCAGCTGTGGTGGCACGCAGATGCTGGAAGAGTATAAAAATGGGATTGGGCTCCTGGTATTCCTGAGCTGTGAGCAAGTCATGCACCTTTGGGATGGGAGCCTTTGACCCTCAGAGCTCCTGTAGGATACAGATACTGGGTTGTTTTGGGAAAGGTTTCTAAGGATTTTCTTGGGTTTTCATTTATTCTGTTTTTCCTTCTGCTGGTAATCCTATAGATGAGAGAGGGACAAGGTTTATGTTCCAACAGTATTTTGGTGTCTTTTGTGCTCAAAAATTAGGGAAATACTTCCAAAAGGAGTTTTTATGTGTTGGTATTTGAGAGGAGCCACTTGTAGCTACATCAAGGACAGCAGGATGTGACCTGTGGCACCAGACACAGGGGAAGGTGCTTATTCTGTCTCGGGACCAGGGAGGGGAAGGTGCTGCTTCTGCAGGAGCAGAGGGAAAACCCAACTGGGCGAGGCACTGGAGGAGCAGGTGAAGCTTTTGGCAACAAGGTCAGTGCAGCCATTAGAAGGTGAGGTAAGTGAGCTAAGTCCTGGTCAGTGACCAGAGAGATTCCCCTTTCAAATTTAGAGCTGAGGAGGGAGGAATCACCACTTAAAAACAGTCCTCACCACTTAAAAACAGTCCTGGTTCTTACCCAGACCAAGCTGATGCTGTACCAAGATACATATTTCCTTCTGGTGACCCTGAAGAAGGGGAGGTATGGGTGGAGGCTGAGATGAAATAGTGGATTTTTGCTGGATGTGGAAATTTGTAGTTTCCCTTGCCAGGGCTTCAAGACTGTCAAGGATCCAGCTGCAAGTGGTGGGGTGAGGTAAACAATTGCCCTAAGTGCTGGGGGTGCTCTGTGATCCATTGCTGGGTTGCAGCCAGATGGCCAAACCTTCCAGTGCTCCTGGCCTGCAACAGGAAGGAGCTGGGAGCAGGGAAATATGGGGAGAAACAGCAGAAATCTGGGTTGAGGAGAAATTCCTATGTCTCATACAAGATTCAGCTTTCTCCCAAAGGCAGAGTAAGTATCCAGGACTCAGTATCCCAGAACCAGAGTGGAAAAGCAATGGGAAGCATGGATGACCCTGTGTAGGAAGGGAGGTGGCCCAAGGAGTGCTTTGGGGATTTTCCTGAGGGGGCCTGACTTGTTTTTAGCTCTTGTCACTTAATACTCTGTTTTCTCCAAGTCTTTCATGAGGAAGTTGAATGGATTTTAAGGGGATTTCACTGTGTTTGTTCCACTTGTGCTAATCTGTGGAATTCTGGGTGTTTATTTCAGGGCCACTGGAGGTGTATGCTGGTAACCGTGGATCATTGAGAGCTGAAATTCAATAAACTGTACAGGTGGTGCTGGGGAAAAACTGACTGTGATACTTTGTCATCCTAGGACTGTTGCAGCCGTCCATCTTTTGGCACATGGAGACCTCAGCATCACATACAAGTTTTGGGAAAAGGGACAGGAGCACTGTTTTACTTCAAGAGACTGAAGTGAAGGTTTAGTGTTTATGCACAACCTGATTTTCCTGAAGTTTGATTTGTTTGCTATGTTTTGAGGCAGTTTCCAGAATAATTAAATCTGTGCTGCTGGAGAGAGGAATGGGTCTGTGTAAATCCCTTCTCTTCTCCCATGCACACTGTTTGAAGGAAATTCTTTCCTGACATCCTGCCTCTTGCAGATAGATTCCAGGCTGCTTTCAGGGAATTTGTAAGTAGGAGGAGGACGCCATGAAGTTTTCTGTTTACACAGGTTGTTCTTAAAAAAAATATGTTTGGTTGTTTTGTTCTGGTGAAATAAACCAACCTGAACACTAAAGCTGGCAGGACTTGTGCCAATTTATTGCACAAATAAAAGTGATTGCAAGAGTGATTAATGCCTGAAAGGAGCTGGAATTTGGAATGGGGTCTGTAGAACTGGCTCCCTTCGTGGGCGACTGGTTGTTGTACTCTTTGTTTTAGCTGAACGTTCCTGTGAATGTTGATGCTAGATCTAAAATTGCTGAATAATACCAGCTTTGGAGCAAACTCCAGAACTCTGTGTGCTCAGAACATGAGGCTGTGGCTGGGATTGAATCAATGCAGAGTCAGAGATAGTCTAAGAGCTGGAGTCCCTCTGCTCTGGAGCCAGGCTGGGAGAACTGTGGGTGTTTGCCTGGAGAAGGCTCCAGGAAGGCCTTAGAGCCCACTCCTCTGTGTAAAGAGGCTCCAGGAGAGCTGGAGAAGGACTTTGGACAAGGGGCTGGAGTAACAAGATAAGGAGGAATGGCTTCCTGCTGATAGAGGAGAGGGTTAGATGGGATAGTGGGAAGGAATTCTTCCCTGTGAATGTGGTGAGGGTTCTGGCACAGGGTGCCCAGAGAAGCTGTGGCTGCCTCTGAATCCCTGGAAGTGTCCAAGGCCAAGTTGGATGGGGCTAAGAGCACCCTGGGACAGCAGAAGGTGTCTCTGCCCATGGCAGGGGGTGGAACAAGATGAGCTTTAAAGTCCCTCCCAAACCATTCCATGATTCTGACTTCCACAGCCATATTAGCCAGGGCTTCCCAGCCATCCATGCGTCTCAGGTAGCCTTGTCTGCCCATGTTCTTGGCCTTGCTGTTTTGCAGAAGGGTCTCAAACTGTATCTCCAGTCAGGAGAGGTTGGGCCTGGCACTAAGAGGAGAATTGTAGAAGCATGGAATGTCCTGAGCTGAAGGGACCCACTGGGATTATCCAGTTCAGCTCCTGCTGCAGGGCCAGTGTGTCACTGAGCCCTTTCCTAGCCTGACACTAGATGGCAATGCCTCCTTCCCAGCGGTGTTTGGGACTCCTTTCTGATGGCCTTTAAATATGTATATGTGTCTTTCTCTGCATAAATATTGTAGTAACTCTGATTGGGAGTTGATGCCCCTTCCCTGCAAGCAAAGAACTTTGTGCTTCCTGGAATAAGATAGTTCTGAAGATATAAACAAAACAAGTTTTCTAGACTGGGACAGCTCTGCCTCCGTGGAGTTCCCTGACATGGGCCATGCTGGCAGTTCACTGACAGCCCTGGATCCATGAGTGGAGACATAGCACATCTCTGTCCAACAATGACCTTGGAAAAGCAGGATCTCCTGGACCCCAACCTGTGGGGACAGAGCCCATTGAGGAAGACGTTTCTCTTGCTGAATCTGAAGTGTAGGAGTGGTGTGGCTGCTGTGGCATAGTGAGGAGCCTTCCAAGCCTCTGGAAGATCCACTCCAGTCCTGCCTCCAGCCCACACACTGCAGGAACAGCAACCACCCTTCCCTGCCACCCAGGTCATGCTGGTTAATTGTGCTTTACCCAAAGTCTGTTGAAAGGCAGTTTGTTGCTGTTGGAGACTTCCCATGGTGATGTAGATCTTGCTGAAGTGCACTTTTCTTTACCAAATTATATCCAAAAACTACTTTCTTTTTGTTCCTTATTTATTTATTTTTTTTTCTCCCTCCTTTCTCTCTTCCTTCCTTCTTTATTGTTATTAAAGGAGGAAATAGAATCTTTTGGCCTCTGGGCAAAATCAGAGGTGTGCTTGGATCCTGACTTGGCATTAAAGCAGAAATACTAGTCCTTGAGCAAAAGAGACAAAAATCTCTACAGAGAGCCACCTTTTTGGGGTGGTAGTCAAAAAACACTGAATCAGAGAAAAGTTTCCTACTGGAATTTTTAATTTTGGCCAAAATGCCTCTCTTTCCTCTCACCATGAAATAGTTTTTGACAAACATCTTCAATGTGTTCCCTGGAGAAGCTGTTCCAAAGGTTGGTCCCAGCTCAGCAGTGGTCTTGTATTTCCAGTTTGGGCTAATCAAATGTCAGCCTGCAGCTCTGCAGCTGTGCTGGGTTTGCTCAATTCCAAGATTATCTGATCTCAGGTGAAGTTTTCCTGGCATGGCTGTTTATCCAAACCTGAAATGTCATGCACCCTCAACCCATCAATCCAAGGTATGCTTCTTTGAAGTGTGAATCAAAACCCCTGTGTGTCACCTGAGCATCTCCCATCATGTTGTCCTCCCCTGCACACCACTGACCCCCAAGAACACATAAGGGCTGTGAGATCCCACTTCATGTCTGTTCCCTCCACTGGCAGCTGCTGCAGAAACCCTGGGGAGTGTGGGTGGGTGTCTTTGTGCCCCCTGAGGTGTGGGCTCTGCTCTGCCAGGGACGAGGTTGAGCTAGGACCACTGGCAAGTAACCAAACACATGAAATGGCTGTGCTAAACCTGTGCTGAGACATCCAGGGCATGTGAAATAGGAGTGCTGGAAGGTGCTTTACCTTGTGGCACCAACAGGCTGGTCACAGGTTTCCTCCAAGGCACAAGGTGCTGCATTTCCCACTGCAGCACCTCTCCAAACCTTCCTGGCATGCATGGGGATGCTGGTCCTATCAGCTCAGTCTGGGTGGGTGCTCAGCACCCTCCCCTGGGCCAGGAGCAATCCTGCTGATCCCACAGACTTGGGGGCATGGGCTCTTGTCACCATCCCTGTGCTGCTGACAGGGCAGGGAGGAGGCGACAGGCAGGGACCAGGGGCTCTGTTGCACTGGATCCCCCTGGGGTTCTGAAGCCCCTTGAGTTACTGGGCACCCTGTTGTGGGCTGGGACAGGAACCAGGAGCTCCCATGGTACTGAACCCCCAGGCTGAGACAAGCACCAAGCACCCCCATGGCACCCCCTTGCCTTACTGGGCACCAGTTCCCCCAGGTAAGGACAAGGGACTCCAATCTTTTTGTTCCGGTGGCTGGCTCTGAAAGTCGTGGAAGCAGAAACCCCTTTGTGCTGCCAGCCCAGCCCAGCCCAGCTGGGCACAGAACACTCCATACTCCACTCCTGGCCCCTCGTTTGTGTTGGCACTGGCCAGAGAGCGAAGCCGCTTTAATTGGCAGTTGTGTTTGTGGCCAGGGTGTTATGAAAAGGTTTTCTGTCTCCCTCTGTAAGTTCCCCTGAATATGTTTTCACTCTTAATATAATATTCACTTCATTATTAGCTGAAAGAGGCTCTTTTCAGTAAGGGCATTTTTTTTTTTCTCTCCTTCCAAAAATACATGAAACCACCCCTTCATGTAGCGCTGCACTGAGGACTGGGATTGTCTGCTGGGCGGGAAGTGAGAAACCCGACAATAAATGGGATTTACACAGAAATTCCTTTCTTCCCCTGTGTGCTGGCAGTGCTGACTGGGTAATGGAGGAAGCGGCTGTTGCTTACAGGCTGATTTGGGGTACCTCACCTCCCCAACAATGTGGTCACCAAGGAGATCCCCCCCCCCAAGCAGAGCAGGGGCTCTTCGTGCCTTCAGCTGGTGTTTCCAGGTGCAAACCCCTCTAGTAGAGTTGGGACCCAGCCCCAGGGATTCCCATGTTTGCTGAAAGTGTTCCCAGCACCTGCCAGGTTTTGGAAGCTTGCTCTCTCTTAGGTAGGTTTGAGGTCATTGGGTGCAACTGCTGTATTGCTATCTTGTGTTGCTACTCTTCATGACTTTGCAGCTTCCATTAGGTTTTTTCCTCCCGCTTTGAGAAAATCCCTGTGAGCTGCAGGAGCAGTAAGCGTGGTATGACACACAGAGCATCCAGCCTGGCTCAGCCTTGGGGATCCAGGCAAAACGATTCTGCTTTCCTCTTGTCTGAGTTCCTTGAAGGGCACCCACAGCCCAGCCAAACTCTGGGTTCAGTTGTTTGCCATATTTGGGTGGTTCTTCAGCCCCCGGTGCCCTCACTCAGTGTCCTCAGCCAGCCCAGCTGAGAATATCCCAGGCTGGGGCTGCCTGTAGGGTTGTGCTATCTCAGCCCTGGCCCCAGCTACTTTTGGGATGCCCTAAGACAACCAATCACAGTGGGAGAAGGGAAGGGGGGATCACTTGGCAGGACAAAAGGTCCCCTGGGCCAGCTCTTGCACTACTGCTATGAGGCACTGGGGTCCCTGGGGACCTCCACACTGCTGCTCCATCCCTTGAGGAGCTGTTATGAAAGCCCAGGGGAGCCCAAAGCACGTTTTCCCTTTCCCTGAAAGCAGCATAGACACAAATCTCCCTTCTCAGGCAGCAGGAGCTTTCCCCAGCTCCACTGCCCCCATTCCCAGCCATCCTGGGAGAATCATTAGGGCTGGTACTATGTGCTGATGAGTATCCAAGTTCTATCCTGAACTGGGAACAATTAGCATTTGTTTCAGGATACAGCTGTGGCTCCAGAGCTGACAGAAGCATTCCCATCCAAGCAGGTTCCAAGGGTGCTCCCTAGGGATGATGCAGCTCCCAGGTAAGGATGCTCTTAGGAGGGGTCCAGCATCTTCAACTCCTCACCTGGCCCTGACATGTCGATTTCTTCTCTCTCTCGGGGTTCCTGATGGTCAGGGTGACCCCAAGAGAGATCCCAAAGGGTCTGTGCTTCCTTATCCCAAACGCAGCTGAAGAAGGAGTCCTGCAATGCTTTCAGTTGCTTTTTCAAGGTTGTTTATTTCTTCTTATCTATAATATTTTCTCTCTGACCTGCTGTGGTCTGCCTAGTACAGAAGCCATAGCAGTCTGGCCTCAAGTCCTGGGCAGCTCCCACATTATATACTCAAAACTATGCATGTATCTTTATCTTCAGCAATTCCCATCACCTCTGATAGACAGTGAATCTTTTCCTTAAACCAATAGAAAAGTGTCACTATCACAGCAAGACATGGAGGAGAAGAAGAAGGAGAAAAAGACTAGGACATGCCCAGATTCCTCCATCTTGAACCCCATTTTAAAGATCCCAAAATTCTATTTTTCCACTCTGTGTTAGTTCAAATATCACACTACTGAAACCTTTGTGACTTGTAATTCCCCATACAGAGTTGACA